CCCCCCCCCCCCCCCCCCCCCCCCCAAACAAAATGGAAATCTGACGCAGACGAACATACGATATCTGAAACCGACGAACGATTTCAGAGACGATTGCAAACCATACGACAACAACAAAAAAGGGCAGAATTTCAAGAAAATATACGAATGAATGAAAGAACTAGAATCCATAAATTTCCACACACACACAACAAAAAAAATCATAGCAGATTTCATAAAACACAATATGAACATAGTAATTGTTCCCTCCAATATGAAAAATAAAAAGAAATTAGGCAAACCTCAACAGGAGAATGAAAAACGCAGAGAGCGAGAGAGAGCGAGATTGAAGAATAAGAACTTTGAAGCGTAAATCGGAATGGGAATGAAATTGAAACGAAAACTTACGACAATTTCAGCCCAGTTTCCCAGATGGTAAGCGTCGATCATGCCTGTACATTTCAAGCTCTTTGGACTTGTTTCACACCTTTTCGTCCCTCTTTTAGAGAAATCATTTTCAACTGTAGGGCGTTTTGATATTGACAACTAACATTCTCACCACAGACCTTAAATAGAATTCTGTCTGATTCACACCATAGACAAGGTTTTTCTTCGTCGACCTAACACAATTCATGTGAAATCTAAATTTGTTCGGCCACACACCGAACACACACGGTTCGATTTGCTTTCAATGACGTATCTTGCTTGCGTTTTTCAAAATATTTTCTTTTGAAATGTGACTTGAAGTTCGTTTGAATTTCAATTTTTACACAACTAACTTGTTCGTGAGTTAGAATAAGTGTTGCACGGTTACTGTCTTGTATTTCCAGTGGTCAACATGCTCCTCATGTCCAGGTTGATCCCGACCTACGAGTCTTAGTTAGATTCACCACATAGTAAAAAATGCCTATAATTTCAACTCGACGATGAGACTATAACAACGAATGTGAAGTTGGTGATTTGAACGCTCGTAGCACTAACAACGAGCAAAAACAAAGTTATTAGATACCTCAGGTGAGTTTTTTTTGTACACGGCTCGTCCGTGATAACTTCTTTGAATTTACGTGCTAATCTACGTTCTACACGACCACCAAGGACACTTGTAGGATAGCGTCTAACAAAAACTTATAAAAATAAAAGGGTTAAAAAACAATAAAATTACATACAAAAAAGGACTATTTTTAAGGGGAAAACAGCTAAGAGGACTATTTTTCTGAATATATTTATAAGAGTTAGTTTTCCAAAGATAAAAAGAGAGAGGGACTTGAGGTCGTCCGCCAGATTTTGAGCCATATAAATACCTGAAATCACCAGGGCTGCAGTTTTAAGGCTGGAAAAAATCGGAGCTTAGCGGACGGGCAGAGGCTTACAAGAAGTGTGTATTTCGGCTGCCGGAGCGAGCTCCAAAAGCTCTTCATCTTCCGGTGATTATCTATTTCTTGTTTCTATCTCGGTTTGCTATCAGTTTTCCTACAAATGTTATCTCTCTTTCTCGTGTTTTCCCTCTCTTTTTGTTTGTTTGTTTGTTTGTTGCGATGACTTCGTCGTCTTCGTCGCTGTCGATTTCGATTTTATAGTTCTTTAAAACAGTGCGTTTGATTGAAAGAACTGTGAGGAAAGATCGTATTGTAATGCGAAAGTGAAAAACGTAGATTTGCATGTTTATTTATTATATATACATATATTTTAGAGTAAATCCAGTTTTGTTTCATGTTTTTGGTGCTCTTTTATATGTACCTTAAGATTCGATTTTTAATTAATGAACTGTGGCTGTCGTCATTATTGCACGTTATGAGATGATGGCGAGCGGGTTAGGGTTTTCGATTATACTTGATTTAGTTGCAAACACGTGAATGATACAGTCTCTTAGTGAATTGAACGGGTGAAGCTGTCGAGTGGTTATCTTGAGACGCTTTTGATCTGCATCCTGCCGTCATCTTAAAACTTCATTCGGGTCGAGTTTATATTATGTTCCATAAATTCAACCCTAGCACTGTTTGTGTCTTCCTTCTTGTAAGGATTGCGATTTTCGTTGAATTTGTTTTTGATATTTTTTTATTTGTGCAGTTTGGAGATACAATATTTATTGTATAGAGGGAAGTTTCCAGATAATATCATCCTGGTTCAGTGGATTCTTTTGATGCCATGACTGTCCAGGCCAATTTGCGTCTTCTAACCTATTCACAAGAGATTATAGATGGACAACCGATTTATGTTTCCTCAAATTCTCTTCCAGTAAAGGCATTAAATTATGAACCGGCTGGCCATGCTTTCCATGATGTTGTCCTCAAACTCCTTGGTTATGAGGACAATGAAGTGAGTGATGACAATGAGCAGACGGCTGAGGATGCAGAACGGAAATATGCTCCATCATTTGATTCATATAGCAGCAAAGGTAAAAAGAAATCAGGTGGAAGCACACAGCAAGATCATTATGCGTTGCTGGGTTTGAGTCATTTAAGATATTTAGCCACTGAGGAACAGATACGAAAAAGTTATCGAGAAACTGCTTTGAAGTATCATCCTGACAAACAAGCTGCCCTTCTTCTGGCCGAGGAAACTGAAGCTGCAAAACAAGCAAAGAAGGATGAAATAGAAAGTCATTTTAAATCTATTCAAGAAGCTTATGAAGTGTTAATTGATCCTGTCAAAAGAAGAATTTACGACTCAACAGACGAGTTCGATGATGAGATTCCAACTGATTGTGCTGTACAAGATTTCTTTACAGTGTTTGGTCCTGCCTTTATGAGGAATGGGCGTTGGTCTGTTAACCAATCTGTTCCATCATTAGGCGATGATAAAACTCCATTGAAAGAAGTTGATGATTTCTACAATTTTTGGTATACCTTCAAAAGCTGGAGGGAGTTCCCACACGCTGATGAATTTGACCTTGAGCAAGCAGAGTCTCGGGACCACAAGAGGTGGATGGAGAGACAGAATGCTAAACTTACAGAAAAGGCTAGAAAGGAAGAAAATGCTAGGATTCGTACACTCGTCGATAATGCATACAAACGAGACCCTAGAATACAAAGAAGAAAGGAAGAAGAAAAAGCTGAAAAGCAGAGGAAGAAGGAAGCAAAATTTTTGGCAAAGAAGTTACAGGAAGAGGAAGCTATTAGGCTTGCTGAAGAGGAGAAACGAAGAAAGGAGGAGGAGGAGAAACGAGCTGCGCAAGTGGCTCAACAGCAGAAAAAGGTAAAAGAGAAAGAGAAGAAACTCCTACGCAAAGAACGGTCCCGCCTTAGAACGCTTTCTGGGCCTGTCATATCTCAATCTTTGCTTGATCTTTCTGAGGAAAATGTCGAATATCTCTGTTCATCTCTTGACATTGAGCAGTTGAGAAATATTTGTGATAAAATGGAAGGAAAAACAGGAATGGAGCTTGCAAAGGTTCTCTGGGATGCACAGGAAAGCAGTCATTCAGATAGAAAGCATCAGGAATGCAATAAGACAGCACAGCAGAATGGTTCTACAAGTGCTAATGTCACTATCCCACTAAGCAACCTTCAGAAGAAGGAGAGGCCTTGGAGTAAAGATGAAATCGAGCTCTTAAGGAAAGGAATGCTGAAATATCCTAAAGGAACTTCTCGTAGGTGGGAGGTTATCTCAGATTACATTGATACACAAAGGTCAGTGGAAGAAATTTTAAAGGCAACCAAAACGATCCTCTTACAGAAGCCCGACTCTGCCAAAGCTTTTGACTCATTTCTTGAGAAAAGGAAACCAGCACAGGCCATTGCATCGCCACTCTCAACTAGAGAAGAGTTAGAAGGTGTTTCCTCTAAAAAACCAGAAGACAATGTGGCAATTAATGGTAATCTGGATGTACCCTCAGTAGGACAAAATGTAAACAACCAAACCCCCAGCGATTCATCTGCAAATGGAAATCCCTCTACTTCGGAGCAAGACTATTGGTCAGCTGTACAAGAAAGAGCACTAGTCCAAGCTCTAAAAACATTCCCAAAGGAGACCAGCCAGCGATGGGAGCGGGTTGCAGCTGCCATTCCTGGGAAGACGGTGAACCAGTGCAAGAAAAAATTCACATCAATGAAGGAGAGCTTTAGAAACAAAAAGAATGCTGCTTAATCACTGTGGCAGGCTTTTCTGGTCTGTTCTTCAAGCAGATTCCAATTTATTCATATCAAAAGGGGTTATATCTGGAGATATCCAACCGATTCTTCTCAAAGGTCAGACTATTTTATACCTCTGCATAGGTTCTTATTTTATGAAATTTTATGATGGCCTACATTTTCTAGTTAGTAACTTGAAATTCCCTGAAGAGATAGGTAGTAGAGTATCGCGTATGCGGAAGAGTTTTGTATTTCCCATTCTTATGTTGTTTGAAACGATTCGTGTAGATTCATGTTGAATTATTTATAGCATTTGGGCTTCATTTAGAATGATCCTGAGTGTGTTCAGTTTTGGACGATCTGTAGTTCTTAGGGGGACACACTGGATGCTTTTTGTCAAATTAGTAAATGAAATTGCTGGTGATGTGATGAATTAATATTATTATCTCTTGCTAATTCGTGTAGACATCAATTACCATCTATAATTTTCGATGGTTTGATTCTTCACCCGTCAAGGGGCTACTTAGGCTGTTAAGTTTGTGCTCCCACTGACTCAATAATCTTAAGAGATGCTTTTAATAGTGTGTAATCTGAAGTGACAATAGAAACACTACACTACTATTATTATTGGTGTAATATGAAGTGATGCTTAACTAGTGCAAAATGAAGTGTATGTCACTTTTGTCAGTTTCACATTTATAAGACTGAAAGAGATTTTGAGATGCATCGGTCATAGTCACTGCAGGTAATATTTCTCCATATCGATCGAAAAATAAATGAGTTGGTTGATACTTTGATTTTGATGGAGACTTCGGTTAGGAGATTGAGTCTGGTTTTTTCTTTTTTTTTTTATTATAGATGGTATAATTTTAGTTCTATAAATAGGATTTCATGCATTTTGAAAATAAATATAATATAGCAAAAAAAATATGTTCGATACCCTTTGTTTTATCACAAACTAAAATCAATATAATTATGAAAAAACAACCAAATGGTTAAAATACACTTCAGCTAAAGCATACGCCTGGAGAGAACCGAAGAGTGCAAATAGTTCAAAATAGAAGCTCATTAGAACCAACGCCCGAATATACTCATCAGGTTTAACAACAACAAAAAAAGGGATACAAAATCTCCTTAGGAAACGTTGATAAATAGGATCTCAGTTCATAAACAGACAATAAGCTATTAAATTGAAAGTTACTGGCAAAGTTCGATCCTCACACAGCAATTAACACTCTGAATGTTTCTGCTTAAGCATGAACCCCTTTGTTCAGACTGACCATCCGAGCTGAAGTATCCATCTGGGATCCTCGGACCGACCCAGACTGATAAGCAGTCCTCCCCGATCCATACGCAGCAGCATCTTGATAACGGGTGCTTTGGTATCCAGCGTTTCCTCCTCGGGACTGACCCGTCCGGTCTCTAGAATATCCGCCGCCCCCACCTTGGCCTCGACCTCCATATCCTGCACGCGAACTAATACCACCTTGCCTTCCTTGATTATAAGACATGTTATCTGGCCACCTGTTATTCCCACCTGCTGCTCCTCCAGCAGCATATTCTTGGTTGTCTCTTCGCCTCATGGGCAAATCTAATCCTCCACCTATTCTTGCCTCAACTGCCCTCTCATTGGTTTCAGCAAGGATTGACAACTTATCTGCCAATTGGAATGCCAGGCCCTGTAATCGGGTGTGTGTAACGTCGTGGAAGATGACGCACCCACTTGGCTGATCCCAACTTGCATGGAGCTCCTCATTGATCATCATCTTGCTCACAATACTGTGTGTTTGACCCTCTGCAAGGTCGAACATTCGGGTGAGTTGTTCTGAACTCAGAGAATCATAAGACGAAGAGTACGTGAGAAGGTAAGTCCTCAGAGCCTCCTCCTTGATCTTTCCCTTAACCATTTCAAGAACTTCTTCGCGATTCCTAAGTAGTTTCCATACATCTAGAGATGCAATGACATCAAAAGCCTTCTGGAAGTCGCCCTTACGAAGGGCACGGGTTGCAGCCATTACATGATCTCTGACATTCTCAGGAGGACCAGTAAAAGTTTGTCGCTCACTCACCTCAAGTAAGCGTCTAAAGTTCTTACTAATAACCTTGCGCTTTGCATCGTGAACATTGCCTGCCATGTTGGGTACTTCCAGCAGCATAGCACATATTAAATGCACAGCCTCCAGGAGCTCAAGATTTATGTGCATGTGGTATGGCATCTGCCTTCTTCTTTCAAGTCTTTCCTGATATTGGTTCGAGAAAATAAATAAGTGAACAAATTAGGAAAACAGAAGTGCTCAATTATAACAGTTGGAAGCAAACACTTGCAATTTGTCCTACAAATGATCCTCTAAAACATATCGAACTCTCCATTCATTTTCGCTCACTAACAAGAGAACATTTTATCTAGCCAAATGCACACCAGCTCGCTTATTTCACATTTAAAGTTAGCATACAAGTCGTCAAATCCAATATTAAGGCTAGAATCGTTAAGGATAAACCTGGCTAACCTCCCAAGTGTGGGGGGGGAATTGCATTTTACCCAACTGAAAATTCTTACACATTTAATCTAAAACATAAGAAGCAGAGAGGCCACAACTAATCCATAAGCCACCTAGGTATCACAGATTTTTATGCCACAAAACAAACAGAATTGGGTACACAACAAATACATGAAATCCATAAATGTGATGTCTATAAAGCAGGACAAATGTATTATTACAAGCTTCTACAAAGTGGAATGCATTAGTAGATACCATCCTGTAATAAATTTCATTTCTTAATAAAGAATATGAACAAACATATTCTACTTGAAGCACAAGCATTTGAACATCATATACACCACAGATGCATCAATGCGTTAGTTTAAGATAGAATCAAGGAAATGGTTTGGACGCAGGTACCTGTTCTGGAGTCTTTTCATGATATCGGCTTTGCGAGACACCTTGTGCAAGCAATTCCTTCACCCTTCCACCAGAATATAATTCTGAAAGGCAGCCATGTCCTTCATTAATCAGGCCTACCCGAAATCCACATAAACCAAGTTGAGCCATTGCCCTGTTGAAAAGGATCTGTGTTGAAATGTCCAAGTGTTGGATACTATCCTGTAAGTGACTCATCAGTAATAAGTCACGAGAAATATAAAATTCATCCAAGAGAGCATGCTGATAAATATCGCAGAGCATAGCTCGTGCTTTAGTGCGCTCATCTCCGTATTGGTATATGAGGGTCACCAGAATGTCCATAAAAGCCCTACTACTCTCGGGAAAGGTGGGTTTACGAGGTACAACCTCTGGAGTGACAATAAATGCAGCAGGGCCCCTACTCTCTTCTACCACTTTAGCCTCCTCACTTGCATCTCCACTATCTCCATCTTCAGACAGTTCTGCAAGCTTTCTCATGGCATCATAAACCTCTTGTGGTTTGTAATAGATCTGCTCAACACGCCTCAGGGCAACTTTGGAAGCTGCTTTGTAATCCCCAACTCGTTCCAAATATTCTTGGACATTCTGAGCAAGAACCATGAACATTGGCTCATCTCTGAGTCTTTCAACATACTCACGTGTATGTGGATCAATACACTGCAAACTCTTAAAAAACTCAGTTTCAATCTTCTCAACAAAAGCAACCAGGTTACCCCAAACACGAATAGTTCCCTTGTAGTCTGCTGGCTTCTGGCTTTCATTCTCATCAGGTTCGACCATATCATCCACAACAATGTTAGAATTCTGCACAAGAATATCAACTATAGAAAGCATGTTTTGCACACACTTCTTCCACACACTGATAGGCATGTGCCCACTGAGACCTGGATTAACATCAAATTGAGCAGATATAACACTGAACAAAATCTCAAGCTTTTGTGCAGGGGTCTTAGCAACTTTTGTTAAGAATGTAAGCTGCTCAACCTGCTCAAATCTTCCAGTTCCCTTCCTACCCCGAGCAGCCACAACTTCCTTAAATTTCTTGTTCACGGTGTCCCATGTGATCTCACTAGGATCCTTCATAAATTGCTTATCCATGAGCTTATCTTTTTTGCTCAACTTCTTCTGCCAGGGACCCGTTGGATCATCATCTGGGCCTTCTTCCTCATCCTCTTCATCTTCTGTACCTGACATGATTTTAGAAGGATCCTCAATTTCAGAATCAGAATCTTCCTCCTCCTCTGTCTCCAACTCATCGTCCTTTTCTTCTTCTTCAACCTCAGGATTTTCCCTATACTTGGTAATTACCTCTTCATATTGCTTATTGTTCTTCTTTAGCTTCTGTTTCATTGAGTTCAAGGCCTTAGCATTGCTAGTACTCATTTTTTTCTTAGCTTCCTTATTGGCCATGGCTTGATTTAGAAAGTCCTCTAGCATCACAAGTGCTTTAATATAAAGAGTCGGCACTTTCTCAGACTCAGTAACACGCATGACTTTCTCAAGCTGCTTATTGATCTTATCAAAATTCTCCTGTAGGCTTACCCAGTCATTGATCTTCATTGCATTTTTCATTTGATCGACAGTGGCAGACATCTCCTCAAAACGCTTATCTTTAGCCGACCTGACAGTACGCTTCTTGTCCTCAGAATCCTCACTGTCACTGGCATTCCCTTGCAAATATCTGCTTCTGTTCTGTTGAGACCCAAGATCAACCTGAATATCGTCATTCTCTTCATCATAGTCACTCTCCTCCGCTTCAGAGTCAGAACCACTGCCACCACCCTGTTTAAAAATCATAAACAGAATTATAATGAATTACAAAACCACATTATAAGTCGGATTAAATGATAAAATTGTCTCCCTAATTCCACTAAAATCTGAACCCATGTACTAATAACACGAACGCTAGATTGAAAGCAATACCTGTGTCCAGAAACGAGAAGCCATTCTCTCTCTCGAAGTTGATCACAGAACACGGATCTAAAAAACTGAATTGTAAAAAAGGAAAAACGTTAACGCATACGCAATTCAAAACACAAATTCCTAGAATGAAAAGAAAAAGTCACCAACGCACAAATCAATAAAACACGCATAAAAAACGAAAGGAGTAAAATCGTACGAATTATAACGGGAAAACTGCAGAATAAACGATGGAGAAATCGAAGAAACAGGCATAAACATACCTCTGGAGCTCTTTCGCACGCTACGAATTAGAGTAAACCAAAGAGGCGGATTGGCGGTAGAGACGAGCGGCGGCAAGATACAAGAGAGCCCGAAAGTGGGGAATAGGTTCTGCAAACTCGCAGAGGAAGAGGGTAATATACCGATTAGGGTTTTCTTCTTTTTATTATTTTTTTTTGTTTTTTTCTTTTTACCTTTATGAACAGGGAGTTTCATGTTATTTTCAATTATGCCACTTTCATTTGGGCCGGCCCACTGTTACAATTACAATTCTTTTTCCTATTTTCAAATGACCAGTTATCCCATAAAAACTTTTTTTTTTTTAATTTACGACTCACTACAATCATATGATATTATCCACGTTGAGCATAAGTTCTCATGGCATTGCTTTGGGCTTCCCCGACATACCTCATACAATAAAGAGAGTATTCTTTGATTATATATTCATGATCGTTCCTTAAATTAGCCGATGTGAGACTTTTATCATCCAACACCTGCCTTCGAACAAAGTACGTCTCCCTTTAATCGAGGCTCGACTCCTTTTCTTTTGGAGTCCTGTTTTCATAACCGTTCAAGCCCACCACTAGTAAATATTGTTCTCTTTTGAAATTTTTCTTTCGTGTTTTCTCTCAACGATTTTAAATACATCTGGTAGGGAAAGGTTTCCACACCGTTATAAATAAATTTGCATTCTCCTTCCCAGCCGATGTGAGATCTCGTAATCGATGTGGCAACTCGAACAAGAGAGAATAAGGGTTGATATTAGAGTTTCGGGTGATAAGAGATTCGAGATGGAGATAACCATCATTCTCGAACATAAATTATGTTCTAGTATCACATGCAGAAGTCACACACATAAAGACATACACGAAAGTCCCAAAACTAAAAACGTGTATAATGTACGTTAACCTAACTATAACAATAACCCATTTGATTATCCGTCAAATTGTTAGAAGTTCAAATAACAATCGATACATCATTGAAACCATTCGAGAGTATAAGTCTATACTTGGCTTAAGCTAAATTCAATATCGTAGGTTTATTTCCATGTCTTAGCTCTTGAAAAGAGGTAAAAATGAACCCAAATGAGTGAACAAGATGTACGTCCCCATCGACACACGTGCCCGCTTCGGTCATAATAGTTCAAACCCATCGCTAGTAAATATTCTTTGTTTTGGGTTTTACCTTCCAAACTTTCCCTCACGGTTTTAAAATGTGTCTACTAGTGAGAGGATTTTACTCCCTTATAAAGAATGCTCCCGTAATTCACCCCCCTTTGAGACTCAGCGTCTTCGATGTCACTCGATCCCCTCTCTAATCGACGTGGGATCTCACACTGACTGTCACCTTTCACAACCCCAATCGACCTGCATTAGGCACCGGGCTCAACATGGTGCTGCCAATTTCTTTTTGTGCGGTGGTGATGGGATCAAATGGGATTAAGAGGTTGAAAAGAGAGAATGTGGCTGTGGCTGTGGCTTAACGCCATATCTTTGGCCCATCAATGGTAATGGTATGAATTATTTTGGTAATTTTAATTTCAATGACCTTATGTTAGAATTATTTTCGTAAATTTAAATTTCAATGACTAAACATATCATTATTTTAGAATTATTATCCTAATTAGTTAAAGAAAAGTTTGTAAGAGCAAGGTGAAAGCTTCTATTTTTGGATGAGTCTTCTTAAGTTTGAATTCACGACATATGAACCGAATCAATAGAAAGGATATACTACCCGTAAAGCTATAGGTGTAATAGTTAAGTTTTATTTAGTTGAAGATTAATTGATGATTAAAATACCAATAGAACAAATAAAACTAACTAACTAACAAGCTCTTCCTCCTTGTGGGTCTCAATGACAATATTAGATTGAGGGTATGCAACACAAGTTAGAACCCAACCATCTTCAATCTGGTCGTCGTCAAGGTAGCTGCCGTCCGACTGTTCCACCTTCCCTCCCACTACTTTCCCTGCGCACGAAGAGCAAGACCCTGCCCGGCATGAATATGGAAGGTCGATTCCTATTTCCTCGGCCTGATCGAGGATGTATACGTCGTCCGGGCACATGAACTCCTTCTCTCCTTCTGGGGTGAGTAGCTTCACACTGTACACTGCCTTGGCAACCAATCGGCCACCAAGGGTGCTGTCCTTCAGCCCAAAAAGACCCTGGCCGAAGTTCGACACCGATCGTAGGCTAGTTGCTGGCTGCTTCTGGAGGAGGATGGTGTTGATTGTGGCGCCGGAAAGTACTGGTGCACTGGCCATTCTGCTGCTGCTGCTGCCACAAGGTTCAAAGGTGAAGGGAGGTTGAGGAGATGAGGAATGGGCAGTGGGGTGGAGTTGGGTTATTAAAGAGATGGCCAGTATGCAGATAAGGGGCTTTAACCAAAAGAAACACGCTTAACATGAAAGGCTACGGTTAATAATGCTATCCTTTTATCATCAGCCATGTGCATGGAATGAGAGGTTGTGGCTGCCACACGTTCCTTGGAATGAGAGGCCATGGCTGCCACACGATCCTCCCTCACTCTATTTCCTACCAACCCACAGAATGGACGACCTCAATCCAACCAATCATCCCTAACAGCGGGAGAAATAACACAATGTGCGGCTAAATGGAAGGATCTTATCAACATTCATGAATGATAAATGCGAAATCGGAAAAATGGAGTACTATCATATAGCTTTGTACCGGCTAAGTTTACGAATTGGTGATAAGCAAACTCGAATCATTGACATCTACCACAGGATAAACCACCGCCTCTCAAGTCTCCTAATTGAATCTACCCTAAAGACCAACGATAGACAATAACTCCCTACCAAACACAATTTACAACTTTCATCGTACTGTACTCTCCAAAAAGCAACATCGTGTTGGAATCTCATTCTAGAACAGCTTTCCCCCTTCAAAATCATCCTGAACTCATTCTTACTCCCCATCAGTAATTCCTGAATACCAATCCTTCAACTGTAATATCAAACAGGCATGCAGCAGTTGTATGATAAAACCATAAGATAGAGATAGACAATGGTCATTGCTTTCTGATGTGTGAAGACAAAAATATTATAAAAATGACATGGGTCTAACAATTTTGTCAATTTTTCTACATAATGAAAAACAATCTCTCAAATTCTAAATCAAGATATTCAATTACAGCCTGGGGAAAACGCATCGTTACCAAAAAGAACATATCTCGGGGCTAAGAGCATGTCCCCATCTCAAAATCTTTAATTTCTACAGGTATTACTGCGTGGCTAGGCGTCCATCCAATATGTGTCAACAGCTTCAAGAAATGGCTTCCATTATCAAAATGCTTTAAGGTAGCGTAGGTCTTTCGCTTCCAAAAATACCCCTAATCACATTTGATATTTCTGTAGATCCTCCGTACGAACAAATTGGAACCCAGGTAACCAACAGCTCCTGCACAGGTCGAATTGTATTAACAGGAATAGGAGAAGAAACAGAAGCAGAATGATACAGACATGAAAAAGAATAGCAAGAAATTAGGCTCTTGGAGGAGCATTGGCACACTTGCTCACAGACAGAATTCAGAAAGATACAGCTTTCTTCATGTTCAAGTGTTGAAGATGCCACTTTACAGGTAAGCACAAGAAAACACTATGTACAAACGTGAAGATGTCAGTAAAATTGTAAAACTCACCGCAGAGAATTCCCAACCCAAGGCAGAACATCAAGGTGTATCCAAAATAGAAGCTGGTTTGGAAAAAGCCGGACATCTTGGTCTTCACATAATAGTAGTATATCGAGTAGAAGTACACATATACAGCAGTTGAAGCAGCAGAGAAAAAAGACGTCCACTGCCAGTGATAGTTCTCGGCATTCAGCAAGAAATATGCTCCCACAATGGTCACGCAGACAGTAACAATGATGAGAATAAGAAAAACCAGCAGCATGAATCCATATACATAGTACACCTGTGGAAGAGGGGACAAGTTATACGCTTAGCTAGCAAGTTCCTGTGCCATATTTCAGTACTGCCAACACATCTTAGCACTTCTTTAGCAACCAAAATTTCATCTCCAAACAAAAAGCCATTAATTTCATGGATTTTTTTTTTTTTTTTTTTTCATATACTGCCAATTTAAGGATGTGCAGGAGCAATAAGTTGAGAACAAGAACTGGTGAAGGTAGTGAAATCTTTCATATGCATAAATACAGATTGAAGTAGTTTAATGTTTCCTGTTTGAGTTAATAATTCCATTGTTCTTGAAATTCCCTGTACTGATTTTAAAACTTGAAACAGGTATGTAATAGTCTGCCATCTCAGGCTCATCCCACAAAGTGCTTTAACCAGTAACCAAATAAAGTTGTAAGGTTACCTTGTAGTTCCAGAAGGATGTGAAGACGAAATACATCTCTATGAAAATACTACCAAAAGGCAGCAATCCTCCCATCATGGAGACTACTGATGGTGTGAGGTACCATTTCTTCTCAGGGATAGGACGAGGAATAGTCTTCACACGACATGGATTGTTAGGGGCGCCACTCCAGTTTCGTCCAATAACCGTACCAAGAAGAGCCAAAGGAAAAGAAATGAAAGCCCAAATAACAAAGACCACAACCATCGTACCAAAAGGAATGGCGGCTAGAGACCCATAGAATATAGCGATAGTGTTCAAGATGAACCCAATTCCAAAGCACAAAAATGGAAATAGAGATGCTGTGAAGATCATTGATTTTATCCAGTTTTTACCTGTCATGATAACAACAGCGTTATAAAGGACCAAAGAATTAAGCATCCAAGTGCCAAAGCCGCCATAAGAGATCTTTAAAAAGTACTAATATTACAGCCTCAAAGAAATATGTCAGGTAGTTTTACCAATCAATATTGCACGCTAAAGCCTAAAGTGAACAAATAAAAAAGTGGAGTCACTAAACTAATAAAAAATACTCACCCCCATTGCGTGAGTACATCCCAGCACTAACATAACCAGAAATGGATGACGTAAGAGCATAGCACACTATGAAAGTTGTGACAATTGCTCCTCTCCTGTATATAGAAAAAGCAACAGAAGTGTCACATGCAATTTTTCTCTTTAGTAGTTAAACGATGATCTCATAAGCAGCCTGTTCATGTGGCATGAATCAACTGCCACGAGATGAAAGTCTTTCTTAGAAACAAAAATTTAATTACATCACAAAAAACTTACTTGAATTTGTTTGCTTATATGGCACCTTAATTTAAAATGACATAGGCAACACTTCCATACAAATGTTAGATTTCCCAACTTACCCAACATACAACATTCCAACAATTGCCAATATGATGACAAGGAGAACAAGCAATGCAAGCTGAGCACCTGTGCCAACAACAGCTGAGAGAAGTACTAAATTACGAGGAGGCCGAAAGACATCCCCATGCACAAGTTTCCATCCAGACTCTTCACTAACATCTCGCTCCTGAAAAAGAAGATAAAAGGAGAAAAAGAAAACATAATGTGACAAAGTAGAGAAAAATGATGGTTGAAGTCTATACAAGATAAAATTAAAACTTGAAATATCATAACATATGTTAGGGAAGAAAGTATAACCAGGGTTTCCAGATCATCATCTTCACGAGCATATTTAGCGTAGTCATTTCTAAGAGTCCGCATCAATATCATAGAGACCAAGCCAGTGAGGAAAATAACCATCATGAATGAATTGAAAATGGAGAACCAATGAATCTGCAAAGTTGTCAAATGCCAGATAAGTACCTTGATATGGGATGTGAACACAGATATGGAACTAAGATACCACAAGAAGTTAAAGAATTCAACTAAGTTAAATAGAAGGAAGCATCTCAAGTTATAAAGCAAAGATATGAAAACACCACAATAAGGGGGAGGGAGGATCATCAGTTACCTGATGCTCAAAGAACGGGTAATCCAAATAAATATCAAATCGTCGAGCGAAAGTAACATTAGTAGAAATCCACTTCACAGCATAGGTCATGTCCAATGTCTTTCCAACTTCCAATGGCCTTAAGTTTTCTTGAGTGAGATTCACGTGAATAATCTATAAGAACCACAACATAGTTGTAAAAATTATATCTATATTGAATGCCAAACCCCCAAAAATTAAATAATAAATAAATAAAACCATGCAAATCATTAGGTGAGAAGCAAAACCTGATCTTTATTATATTTGATGATGATATTCTTATGAGTGTAAAGGACATGCTTAACATTATTGCTATTCTTTTCAGGATGCAACTCACCAACAAAGCCTAAAATGAAAATGGGAGCAATAAAGCATCAATCAGGACCAACAAATTGTTCATTATTCAAGATATCAAACTAAAATATAATAAGATAAAGCACTTACCCCACAGAGGCAAATCATCTGAAGTTTATTCCCCATCCAGCATCATGAAATGAAACATCAGAAGAAGAAAGTATGGATGAGTAGGTCCATCAATAATTATTCATATGACAAATAGGAAAAAAAAATTGATAATCTGAAAAAACTGAATGTCAACTATTCTGTTTTTAAACTTTGATTCAGAATTGTTGTGTACAAAAATCAGAGAGAAACTCATAAAAATAAGAGCACATGTCGAATATTTAATTACAGATTTGAAGTTGACAATGCAATAGCCTTGCCTTGAGATTTACAGGTCATACGATTAAACAAAAACAAAAAAAGGAGAAGACAAGCATATAAATTATGCAAGTTCTTTTTCCAATCAAGATTAACGTGAACATTAAGTAAGTGATCAAAACAGTTCTTATGTCTTCATGCATGGTTGGAGTACTGCAGTCCTAGAATGTTAGTATTAAAATTAACTAAATATCATATAACTTTATGAAATTCTATTAAGATTTTATTAATAGCCATTGTTTTAGATAATTATGTCAAAGTTTCTATATTATATAGACCTTTAATCTTCTAGCAACAATCTGTTTACAGAATTCCAATTTTTTGTTCCTAGTTAGAAGTATTTCATCAGGCTTTGGATCACTATATTTGAGCCACCAGTTCTAGGTTGTTAGCACAAGAACACTGTGTAAAACATACCCATGAAGAACTCAAACCAGTAACCATTCTCAATTGCATCCTTAAACTGCTTAACATTTGGTTCATCAAGCTCCAGTTGACAAATAGTAGTCCTCTCCACATTTTCTGCAAAAAAAAAAAAAAAAAAACAAAGTTGAGTAATGGCAACAGTTCGTCCATGATCAGTGCAAGATCTCAATTCAATCTTCAAATACTGAGAGAAGTTGACATACTTTGGAACTTAATCTCAATTTGACTGTCAATAAGTTCGTTTCCTCCAAGGACCTCACCAAGACCACCCCATTTGTGAGCAGAATGGCCAGATGGATGACAGAATGGAAGGCTGTAATAATTATATGTTTCTTGTGGGTTGTTGTACGGACCAACTTTATTCAC